TTTTTTTTTTTTTTTTTTTTGTGAATTTGTTAAATCAAATTAAACTAAATTTATAAAAATACTTACCGACCTACTTCAAAAACACCCATAAACTTTAAAAATTATATCCTTAAGACATTTTTTTTTGTAAATTTACCCGTCCCGTATTTACAAAAGTTCCTCTATATTAATACTTGTACCTTAAAAAAACAAAAGAAGATTATTTACAGAAGTATTATTTACAAAAGTTCCTCTACATTGATACCATCTATACTTTTTAAAAAGAAAATGTCTTCCAAACATGAACAAAAACCAAAAAAGGAAACAAACAAAAAAGTGTGAAGTTACTAAAAAATTTGAAGTTATAAATTTAAGGGTACTTTATAAACTTTTTGAAAATTAAAAGCATATTTTAACTATTTTAGAAGTTAAAAACATAATATTAAAAAATTAGATATTTTATGGACAAATACAAAGTTCATATAACATTTTATTAACGTTTGTTAAAAATCACATGCTACTCGAAAATCCTATCACATTAACATTGAAAAAATCTAGATTCTATTAGTTTTTCTCATTTCAAATTAATACTTCAATTCAAACGAATAAAATTGTGCCACGGCTCAACAACAGCAAGTCTTAGAGAAGAACTTAACCACGCCATTACTGGAAAGCAAACAATATTTTATCGTTAATGGTTCAGAAACAGCCGCATGACCAAACAAACACCAACAGCACAAAAGGAAATTAGAAGACGACGGACACACTGAGAGACGACAAGGAACAAACGGACTGGCTAAGAAACTACGACCGTACATAGAAAAACAGAGATGCAACAACCAAAGTATTAGAGTACCATTCTCTTTACTCTTCTTCCGTCTCCGACTCTGCGTTCTGGAGCCACTCGATGAACGGCTTTACATGCTTCCAGATTTGGCTACCTTTGTTAGCTCCTGCCAGTCCCTGCTGGTACCACTCTAGCACGAATTCCTCCTCTATTACATCCCCATCGTATAACGATTTCAGGACCAGTGCGATCTCCTTAGCCACCTCCGGACACGTGTTGAGACAGAAAGATTCGATGGAACGCAACAGAACTATCTGTGATCCCTCCTCCTGAGCTGCTGCAACTGCAACCAGGAACTTCTTCTTTTTCACTACCTCCTTTGAGAACCCTTTCCCAACTCCTTCAAATAGAGCCTCAACTAAGGCATTCGCAGTCTCTTGGTGAGTTCCAGTAAGCGACTCCAAGAATGATTTAAGATCGGCTGCAGAGGGACTTTTCTTCAAATAATCTTTGATCTCATGAACAAGGGCACCATGGGTAGACACTCCGTTTCCATTCTTGCTTCCGTTGACCACAGACTTCTCGTGTTCGGGGGACTTTTTTGACGACTTTGTCTCTTCAGTTGTAGAGAGCATGACCATATCAGCAGTGACAGCACTCAACTGCTCCTGAATACGCTGCTTGGCTGCCTCCAAAGATGTGTCTGTTTGCCACTGTACATCGTCGTCGTCGTCGTCGTCAGCAGCTTGGTCATTCTCAACGGCATGGCTACGAGTTGGAGAATGATCCTCATCGGAGCCGTTACTCTTTTTCTTGCTTGGAACTTTGGTTACAGCTTCCTTTGCATTACCACTAGTGCTTTTCTTCTTCAGGGAATCCTTCTTTATTTTCTTCAGTTCCTCATCAGCAGCCTCTCCTTCCTTAAGCCGTTCCTTCTCAGCCCGCCTCATTGCTTTCTTGTCTTTCGATCCCTTCTTCTGTTCAGGAGGATTCTTGAGAATAAATGTAGTGAGTTTATCTCTCATATCAACATCAGATATGAATCCACAAGCAGCACATTTCATATTGATCATCTGCGTCTTAGTGATGATTATCTCAGTTTCAGGGTTTCCACAACCATAGCATTGAACATATTTCTTGATGAAGTTCTCGAGAAGACCAGCCAACTTCGCCGTCTCATGTGCTCCATTTACAAGAGCAATCCCTGTTTTCTCATCAAACTTGGATTGTGCGCCAAGCTCACATCCGAAGTACTTGGTAGTGTAAGCAGCAGGTCTGCCCAAGGCTTTTGCAATGTCCACCATGTTAACTACATTAGTCTTGATGCCATTACCTCTACCTTCAATTTTAGTAACCATCCTAGGCATCTTATACCTATAGAAGGCATCGTCACGGTTTGAGGCACCAATGTTCTGTAACGCCATGTTGTTAATACGCAGAAATACTGCAGCTCTGGTTAGAAAAGATAGGTAGCAGTAGCAGTATCTTCAAAAGGTCCTAACGTTCTTTGAGCAGCTGGGAAAGGCCGCATAAAAGAGAAACCAAGATCACGTGCTTTTCTATGACCTCCAAGCAACTCAAGATGCATGCAGCCAATAGTCTCAGCACAGCTGGTCTTTTTCCTAGACGTAGGACAATACTCTCCAAGCAATCCAATCGATGACAAAAAGAGAGAGGCCCGTTCAGACATAAAAGGAGTTTCAAACTTAACGCCCTCCACTTTGAACTACAGACAACAGACCAGATGGCCAACTTCCTGGGGATTAAGAACGATTATCCTATTATAGTTAGGTTGGGGGAAAAATACTATTGAGAAATTAAAATCTAGAAGAACAAACAAAATTTCATTAGGAGATCATCAGAACTTAAGTTTTCAGTCAAAATAAACTTCGTCATACAAGCGCCAATACGCACACACGAATGTTGCCCCTACCTCTAAAATAGAAAACTAAACCGTATGCAGCAAGTTACAGAATCTCAATAGACCGATATTTAATTCCAGCAAAAATCGAAGAAACAATTGAACAATGTTTGCATTAAATAGAACGAGTTTTTGAAGACTACATAAATCTAACAATCAGGCTTTAACAACTTGACACATGAAACATCATGCACGAATCAACACACAACGTATTAGATAAATGCACGAATCCATTACAACATGTAAACTCTTCCACCATTTACAACTAGAAAATAAATAATCTAAAGCTTTCAAATGACAAACAAATAAGAAAAACAATACACAATTGAACACAAACAAATACAACGAATATCCCAGACCTATTGGAAATACTAGATGGAACGAATAACATATCGAATTCACAGATAAGATTCAATCATCGATCTCAGAAGTTTTACGTGAATAAATCACAATCTAAAGCGACGATCATATTTCTAATTCCAATAATAGAAAAATTAAGAAAAACATTCCAGACAAACGACAAATAAAGAAGTCAATCTACAGATCTGAGCGACGGGGCAAGAAACTTACTAAATTCCATCGAAAATCAACAATCGAAATACCGATCGTGAAGATTTTATCAAATCAAAGATGTTTGATTACAAAAGAACCGTGGATAACTTATAATCGATTACGACAATAACAAAAACAACAAATTGAAAACATTAGTTAAAAATCGAAGGCCGATAAAGCAACAAGAACCGGTTATGAAGTTTGTTTAAACAAGAAAACAAAGAAAATTCTTGCCTTACAGTGGTGGGAGGTCGAGATACGAGAAGAAACTGATCCTGAAGCTTTGGCTCTTGTTCGCGCGGTGACGAAGATGCCGATGGGATTTTGATGGGTAGAACGGACGCTTTTTATACACGCTCAAAGGAATGGTAGAAAGAAAACCCTACACGTCACCAATTAGGGCAAACTTTTGAAACCCCAATTTAAAAATTAAAAATATTTGCACTAACCGACCTGAGGGGCAATGAATTGCCCGAAAGTTTCGTTTTATTTACGATTTTGTCCTGCACAGTCTCTATTGCTATCACCTTTTCTCCAGTCTCTAATATTCTGCCACGTTGCGAATCACGACAGAAATTTGAAAAATATGCCTTTGTCCAATATGGTAATTGTAGCACAACCCTAAGGGTATATATGGAAATATGAAAATATCGGCGGCATTGTTGTAATTTGGAGTTAAGGTATGACTCGAGGGAAAGGGAGAAGCAACCATTTTTCAGAAGTTACCTAACAAATTTCCATTTATACCCTTTTATTAATTAAAATTGCAAATTAATATTTTTGTCCTTTTAAATTCTAACTTTTTATAATTTAATCAAATATTCCCTTGATTTATAATTTTATTTATAATTGAATAAAATTGTTATTTTCAATTTTACTAATAATATATAATATAAAACTTAAAAGAAAATAAAATAATATATTTATTGGAGGAAAATAGAGTATTATTAAAAATGGTTAATCTATCCCATATCTGATTCTGATACGATTTGTAACAGTCCAAATCCACTATAATAGATATTATTTCGCTTTGGCCAGTTACGTACCGTCGTTCAGCCTCACGGTTTCTACACCTTTATACGAAATGCGTTGTTCTCCTCTTCAACTGATGTGGAATCTCACAAGTCATTTCAACACAGTTTGTCCTCACTCACGTGCTACTCTCGAGTTTCTATGATCGAGTTTGTCCTCAGTATGCTTCATTTTCTCGAGTGTCGCATATCTACTAGCTTCCGTCTTCGTCGCATCCCATTGTGAGAGGCATTGCTTTAATATCATTTGTAACGTATACCATTCCGATCGGGCCCGAGCGTTACAAATTCAATTTTTTTTCCATTTTTGTCCCTCATTTATTTAGCGATGTTTTATTTAAATATATTTACTAAATGAATATGGGCCCAAAGAGGTTTCATTTTGGGCCCAAAATGTTTTCAAGGCCCAGTTTGTTGGGTCGTGGTAGAGATGAAATATTTATTACAATTTTTTAAAAATAAACATAGACATCAATTTAATTATCTTCCATATCAAAACATACAGATATTAATTATTTCATACATTTAACTCCACGTGTATTTAATATTCATACACATTAAAGCGATATTTTTTATTCAAGTGAATTTAGTTGAACATAAATATATATATATATATATATATAAATGAATGAATAAAAAAGTGTAAAAAAAATTCATAGGATATGAGAAGAAGTAAGAGAGGAAGACATATTGCCCACCGTCACTTTGAGCATAAGCTCTCATAGTTTTACTTGTGATTAAAAACTCACGATCATTCTCTAAATTAGCCGATGTGGGACTTTCATCTAACACCTCTCCTTAATCGAGGCTCGACTTATTTTCTTTTGGAGTCTTAGTCCTTTTTTAACTATGGCCTTCGAGGAGCCTCAATTCAACACCTCCCCTTAATCGAGGCTCGACTCCTTTTCTTTTGGAGTCTTAGTCATTTTTTACTATGGTTTACTATGGCCTTCAAGGAGGCTCGACTCCTTTTTCTTTTGGAGTCCTTTGTTCGACATTTGAGAATTCTATTGGCATGGTTAATTCAGGGTGTGACTCTAATACCATGTTAGATAAACACGACTCTGCAAATTGTATGATATTGTCCACTTTGAGCATAAGCTTTCATAGCTTTGCTCTGGGCTTCTCCAAGAAGTCTCATCGCAATGGAGATAATATTTTTTTATTATAAACTCATGAGTATTCTCTAAATTAGCTACGTGGGACTTTCATCCAACAAAGACATGGTACAAAATTGATTAAAAAAATATTATAGTTAAATAAGGGTTAATTTGTATGATTAATTTCTTTCCTACATTCATGTTCTTGAAAAAAATTAAAATTTGTACAAAATTTGATGCTATTTAAAATAGTGGGCATATATATATATATATATATATATATAATTAATATTATGGAGCATAAATTAGTGGATAAATAGATAAAATTGTTGATGTTATTATCTACCGATTGGGTTGCGTATGGTATTAGCAAATTAGAAGAAGCTTGTACGATTGATATGAGTGGTCGAAAAACACGCCATATAAATGAAGGAAAAATCAGTCGCGTGTTCATACTCCAAAATTAGTTGCTCAAGAATTCCGTCTCACTTTCTCTCTCTCTCTCGAGAAATTCGGAACTTCTCTGTTGAGTTTATTGAAATGGAAGAGGTTACAGATGTGAGCAGTGAGTGCTTTGAGCGGTTGATGAAAAATGACAATCAAATCAGAAGGCTCATTCAATTGCCTGCTTGGCAATGTGCAGCGAAGAGTTTCGTTCCGTTTTTTTTCCCAAGAAATGCGAAACTCTCTTCTTGTGTAACGTAATCGGAGCTCTTCAATTGCCTTTATAAGCTTAAGCTCTCATGGAAGTTCAAGCTTGCCATTTGTATTCGTCTCTCTTCTCTGAAAATAATCTTCGCAGCTCTGTATTCATCTCCCCCTTTTTCTGTTTCATACGGGGGAGAGGTACAGTGTTGAGCCAAAAATGAAAAACCGTGGTCCTCGGAAGGTATCTGCGAAATGGATTCCGTTCTTTTGCCTTTCGTTCTTCCTGGTTGGGATGCTTCTCACTTCCAATGGCAGGTAATTGTTTCTCCTTCTCATTATTGGATTTGTCTGTATAATCGATTTCTATGTTCGGAATTTGTTTGCGTTGTTTCTTTTTTTACGATATTACGGAATTGGAATGATGATTTTGCAGGATCTGGACGCCGAAGCAACCGGATTCACGCCTTGTTTCTCAGCTACAACACGATCAGCACCACCTCCGAAGTGCATCTGAAGGCATCACTACGAATCAGGTGAATATCAAAAGGACTCGTTTCATCGCTTCGTCGTTTCGCTGTTTCGTTGTTTCAAATGAACATGTGTGTTCCTATTTGTTGTTTGAATCGTTTTAGAAATCTGCCGAGGACAAGAGAGTGTTGGCGGAGTTTCACAAAACACAGGCAGCAATTCAGTAAGTGTTGATTTGAAATCCTGTATTCCGATTAATTTGATTTTCTCTTTTAAATTGATAACGTGGATTGGACTTTCTGCTTTTTGTGGGGGGCGTTATAGATCTATAGGCAGGCAAGTTTCTACACTGAAGATGGAAATGGCTGCAGCGCGGAAGATGACCGCTTCTAACATCAAATTGCCATCAAATAAAGATCATTTCCCAAAGAAGAAGATGTTCATAGTGATTGGAATCAACACTGCCTTCAGTAGTAGAAAGCGGCGTGATACAGTGAGGGAGACATGGATGCCTCAAGGTATTTTACGCTTTATACAAACTTTTATGTGTTGTAGGATCATCGACACGTTGACACGTTGGCAGATCGATTAATTTGATATAAAACAAATCTTAAGAAAGACCCTTTTGGTAAAGACTCATAGAACCTTGCAGTTCAAGCTAATTGATTATGATATATGTAGATATAGATATAGATATGGGATGGATGCAAGGAAAATGCATAGCGATCAATAGAACATTGCCAGGGTATATATATGTATATGTATATATAGTATGTAAAATCGAAAAATTCTAGCTCCACCCTGCTTGGAACAGAGGGATTAGGACTTAATACCATGGATATATATGTGTATATATATATATATATTGATTAGGATCACTCTCAAGGATTATGAACAGGTAAAATGTGCATACTATTTTAATCCTTAGTAGTATTAATAGCTAAGAACATGTCATTTACTGTCTGGACAGGGGAAAAACTCTTGCAATTGGAGCGCGAAAAGGGTATCGTAATTAGGTTCATGATTGGCCATAGGTATCGATAACGTTTTTCCAGATTGCATTATTTGCTTTCCTTCTGCTATGGAATTGATAGAAGTTAAACATCTGTATGATTCGAACAGTGCAAAGGCCAACAGCCTATTAGACCGGGCGATTGATTCAGAAGATGCTCAACACAAAGATTTCTTAAGGCTGGTAAGTAAGAAAGCAGCACATAACACAAAATGTATGGATTAGTAGGATCCTACACATAGAGATCGAATTTCGTCTGAGCTTTTTATTATTTCGTAGGACCACATTGAAGGGTACTTTGAATTGTCTGCAAAAACAAAGATTTTCTTCACTACAGCTTTTGCTAAATGGGATGCTGACTTCTATATTAAAGTCGATGATGATGTTCATGTCAATTTAGGTATGTGCTACCTTTTGGATCTCTCCCAATTATTGTTCATGGTAGTAATTATGTGAATAGTGGTCTGGTTTCATATTGTTCATGACTGTTGCCTACAAAACAAAAATTTGTGATGCAAAAAATCCGATCAGATTTTCTATGTATGTTGTGTCTTTCTAGGTGCGTTAGCTACAACTCTTGCTCGTCATCGTGCTAAGCCAAGAGTGTACATAGGCTGCATGAAATCTGGACCTGTTCTTTCTGACAGGTAATTCTTTTGAAGGCTTGGTTAGCATTAGTATGTGCATTATCTGTTTGCCATCATTTTGATCTCAAGTATCTAGTGGCACTGTGGAAGGGAACATGAAATGTAACGGCCTAAGCCCACCACTAATAGATATTATTCTCTTTGGACTTTCTCTTTCGGGCTTTCCCTTATTTCTTTTAATTTGCCTGTAAGGGTTCTCGTAGATGACTTTTAGAGCACAGTGGATGAACAGGTTCCACATTTGTCTGTTAATTAGCCACCTCTATAAAATGGCTCTCACCTTCCTTCCCCTCTTCTATAACAACCTTCATCCACCGTGTTCTCGCACGTTTTGTATACGTGTTCTAATGCTCCTATCACCATGTATGGACCTGATAAAAAGAATACTCTGCAACAGGAATGAGAAATACCATGAACCAGAATATTGGAAGTTCGGGGAGGACGGGAACAAGTATTTCAGACACGCAACTGGGCAGATTTATGCAATATCAAATGATTTAGCCTCTTATATCTCGACCAACCGGTGAGGAGAATTGTTTATTTAGTCATCGTATTCGATTTACATGCATATAAGAGCTAGCCAAATGACCAGTTGCACTAATTTGTGACTGCAGGCAAATACTGCACAAATATGCAAATGAGGACGTGTCACTCGGTGCGTGGTTCATTGGTCTTGAGGTCGAGCATATCGATGACCCCAACATGTGCTGTCCCACGCTACTAGGTATTTCTCTACCCTACATCGATAATGTTCATCAAAGATCATTGAATTTCCATATGTCGTACAAACAAAACATAACTCAACTGGTTAAGACATATATCTCGATAAGAACTTCAAATCTCCGACTGGATTTTGTTTATATGTTTGTATGAATGGCGAGTGCAGACTGCGAGCTGAAAGCTCAAGCAGGAGATGCTTGCATTGCTTCATTTGATTGGAAATGCAGTGGGATTTGCGAATCAGTGGAGAGAATGAAATATGTTCATGAGAAGTGCGGGGAAAAGAATGATACTCTATGGAATGCTTCCTTTTGACATTGTAAAAGTTTTGGCTATATATATACACACACACATATATATATATATATATGTTTATAGAGGTTAACGAGCGAGGAGCGAGCTCGAACGTCGAGGTTCAGAACGTGCAGTTCATAAACAAAGGCTGCTTCTTCTTGATCTTCATGTTCATCTTGTTTTTCCTTCTTGGTCAGCTCTTGTGGAAGCCATGTGAGAGAGATGAATGAAAATGAATAGTGGTGTTATTTTCTTTAGCCTAATAACAATACCATACTTTTCTCAACTCCTCTTTGGACCAAGATAGAATTTAAGTTTATCCACGAATTTAAATTTTTTAAAAATAAAATAAAATAAATTATTTGAGCTTTCTATTATTAAAATATAGATGTCAATGTCGATATAAAAATTAATAATAAGTTATTTTTACTTCCAACTAAGTTGTAAATATTGTTATTAATATTTATTTTGATTTTGAGATTAATAAATGATGTTATTCATCCTAGCCTTTTAAATCATTTTCAACTTATTTTCACGTTTTTTGAAATATTTATTTCCAACATGATTGGAGACGTGAGCATACGGACATTGTCGGCTTGCTGGACCAAATTTTTCATGGTTGATTTGTTTGCTGGATTAGAACAAGCCCTGCTAACTACATCAAATGTGTCACGGTTGACCTGTTTGGTGGATTAGAACAATCCTGATTGACTTGTTTGCTGGATTAGAATAATCCCCATTGACTATATCAAACGCGACTCGTATACGCCAAACATTATAGTGTCTGTATGATCACAATCCTCTGTTTTCGGGTTGGGCTTATAGGAGTCGAACCTGGTAATTCAAACTAGACCATATTACCCCTCGGGCAAACCCACAAATACACTTATCTTATTAGCGTACGCATTTTATAAGTTTTGTTCGGTTCGAGTTGACTTTTATTCTATGAACCCGAAACCAAACCGAGTCAATTTGAGTTCAGAAACAGTAACTCAACCCAACAATTATAATTTAAGTTAGGTTGGTTCCAGTTATCGGATTTGATGTACACCCGTATTTCTAAACAAAAGAGGCACTTGTCTTAATTGCATTATTAATAACCGTAATCTATTTAGTTTTCCCACAAATTGAAGAATGTTCTATTTAAAATTAGGAATACAGCTATTTTGGTAATTTACGCAACCAAAAAGACCAATTTACCCTTCCATCATTCAATCGCCCACACTCCCCATGTGAGCACCGACAGCACCGATTTGCCAGCTGCCCACACTCAAGAAGCCGCGTTTTTTCCTCTCCTACCACCATTCTCCGTTTCCATGAAACCGCGATTTATCTTCCAACACGTGTCCAATTCCCTACGTGTCAGTATATCATTGGAGAACAATAGTTCATTATATAGGATCATTCACAGGTTAAAAGAACCCTACACGGCATAATTTCTTACACCGCAATTCCAGGCTTTCCCTCGCAGCATCTGATTAGGTTCTCACTTTACTCTTTATTATTCAAACCCTTACTTCTCATTTTCCTTTCATCAGTTCTTTCTTCTTCTTCCATTTCCATTCTTCTTCTTCCATTTCCATTCTTCTTCCAATCGAAGAACGAAAATCCATGGCTCGATTTGCGATTCTCTTTGCTCTCATTTTGCTTCCTGCACTCGCCGTCGCAAGCCGGCCCGTTAGAACTCCGTTCATTGTTCGTGGTAAAGTGTTCTGTGATACTTGCGTTGCCGGCTTCGAAACCTCCGCCACCACCTACATTCCCGGTATCTGCTCTCTTTCCTCGCTTTTAGCCTACTAGTTGAGAATCGTGGATGTATTTGTTCTTATGTGCCTCGTGTTCTTGCTAGATCTGTGATGTAGTTAAGAGATTATGTCGATTTGTGGCTTGCTCACTAGTTTAATGGTGGATCTGGTGTTTGAATCTTGAATGCTGCCTGATGGTATGTGGAGTGAGTTAGGGTTTAATTATAGGGATTATTTTAGTCCAATTCGCGGTTTGGATATGATTATTTTTTAATTGAAGCTTAATCTTGGGCTTAGTAATTAGATCTATGTTTGTTAAGTAAGAAGACTTATTTATTTTATATTTCTTTCTATGTCGTGCGTAACTTTTTATATTTAAGCAATGATTTTTCAAATCTGCCCGCTTACATTAGAATTTTTGTATTGATCCTGTATTTAAAATACTTCTCAGAAACTTTTACATAGTATGTGTTCGAAATAACATCAACTGCTCGTAATCCCTTTTGCATTCATTGTCTGTGTTAAGAATATGAATAGGATAGAAGATTAAATGTAACAAACTAGCAGTTTAAGGCTTAAGCTTTTAGGTCATGAAGTCATTTAAATTTAAAATGGTTGTGGGGTAAAAGGTCGTGGGTAGGGGTGTATATTCAACCCAACAACTCGGACCAACCCAACCCGAACTATAATGGTTGGGTTGGGTTGGATTAGCATTTCGAGTAGGGTTGGGTTCATTTTTCTGAACCCGAACTGAATCGTTTCGGGTTCGTGGATAAAACCTTTGGGTTGATCTGAACTAAATAAAAATATATAAATTATATTAAGAATTTTGTCGTATTAATAGGTTTGCCAGAGTGGTACCTCGGCCTCTCTAAGGACATCTAGGCTAGAGTGTTACAATTTTTGCTTGATTTTTTTTATGTGAATAATTATAGATGGATTTGTGTTTGTTTGTAAACTTTTAATGATGTGAATAATTATAGATGGATTTGTGTTTGTTTGTGAACTCTTAATATATTTTATCTAAGATTGTATTTGAATAATTATAAATTGTGGATAAATAAAACTAAAAAAAATTCGACAACTCGACAACCCAACTTGAAAAGAGAGGGTTGGGTTGAGTTGTGAAAATTTTCGGGTTGGGTTGGGTTGGACAACTCGACAACCCAACCTGGACCATATACACCCCTAGTCATGCGTCATAATCCGTTGTGTCTTGGGCTAATTTCCAAGCCCTTACAAAGATGAGAGTGAGGTGGTTGGTATATCAACTTACTTCCCGATTCATTTTAATACGTGCAATTGGGTGATTCAAATCTCTAATATTTTGTCGAGCATACATATCTTAACTAGTTTTTGGTTGGTAGATATAATCATTTGTTATATCTCTAACCCTCTCTTGATTGGACTCGGATATTAATTTAATATACAAAGGCCCACATGCAGGTTATTATAAAAAGAGGAGAAAGTAAAATCTTAAGAGTTTTGGGTTTTAAACTTAGTGCTTAACAGGTGTTAATTGTCTAGTGGTTAGTTCACGCATAAAACCTTTTCACCAATTGTTGAATTTCCTTGCAGGTGCTAAGGTCGGAATTGAATGCAAAGACAGGAACACAATGGAACTTCTATACAAGCATGAGGCCACAACAGACTCCACTGGTTCTTACTCACTCTTAGTCAATGAAGACCACGAGGACCAAGTTTGTGATGCCGTACTAATCAGCAGCCCTCAGAAGGATTGTTCATTAGCAGCTGAAGGCCGTGACCGGGCCCGTGTGATCCTCACCCGCTACAACGGTATGGCCTCAAACGAACGTTATGTCAATGCCATGGGTTTTGCAAGATATGAACCTATGTCTGGCTGCAACCAAGTCCTCAGTCAGTACCAGGACATCGAAGATTAGAACGGGTTTTAATCCTACAATCGCTTAGTTGTATTTCTTGAGGTATATTTGCCCTGTTCTGTTCATGCTAGTGTTGCCCCACGTACTCTTTTATCTGGACATTGAATGATGTTTGTTATTGCATTCTTAAAGATGATTAATATGTTTTGTTCATTCACTTCATTATTATCATCACCAGAATGATGCTTATTTATGGATACAAACTAGTGAAAATAGCCTTATTGACTTCTATTTTCTAACTGAAATAGGCTACCTGTTGTTATGCCGTACCTTAATTACTTTGGTTGTTCCATAGTTTTCTCCAGATTATGAATTAGATCTAATAAGCCCCGACTTTCTAATTTGAATCTCTATGATTTGATCTCCCATATTTGTCGAAGCAAGCCATCAAAATGTTTGAAAACGGAGAAGTTCAAGCATTGCACTGGTTAAGCCGAACACGTGTTTTAAAAATCTTGAAGGGAAACTTGAAAGGGAAAGTCCAAAAAAGACAATATCTGCTCACAGTAAGCCTTAGCTTTGAGCCGTTACAAATGGTATAGAGTTAAACACTGGGCAATTGCTATTCTCCAAAGGGATAGACATGGAGCGGTGTGTCTGTAAGGATGCTGGTCTCTAAAGGGGTGGATTTGGTAGGGGTCCCACATCAATTGAAGAAAGGAACGAATGCTAACGAAAAGGCTGGGTCCTGAAGAGGGTGGATTGTGAGATCCCATATCGATTGGAGATGGGAACGAAACACCATTTGTAAAGGTGTGAAAACCTCTTCTTAGAAAACGCGTTTTAAAAATCTTGATGGAAAGTCTAAAGAGAGAATATTTGCTAGCGATAGGTCTGTGCCGTTACACTAAAAACCTCGATATTTTACCATATTTAATGGGTAACGGGTGAATTTCCAAATTTCCAACGTGATAATAATAACAATAAATCAACTTCTCAAATTTCCTATTTCCAACTATCCACAATTAGGATTATGAGGATTATGATGGAATAAAAGAATCAACTTTTAATATTTTGACTTTAATCTTTAATAAATAAATAAATAAATAAAGTTTATAAAGAAATAGAAATAGTTAATATATTCCAAATAATTACCGTATTTGTGTTTGAAGTTGACAAAATCAATTTTTATTTTTATTTTTATTTTTGTAAGTCCAATAGCTATAATATAAATTCATATACTGAAATTAAAAATTAAAAATATTTAACTATAAATCTAATTTTAATCCTTCTATTTATTTATTTATTTTTATTTCACACAACAACTGAAATTACATACGCTGAAATAAGATTTAATTAAAAAAAAAAACTCTCAATGATAATTAATAATAAAATTGACCAATATAATTTCTTTAAATTTCCCGTAAAAAAAAAAAGAAAAGATTTCAGTTATTTGAACTTTGAAATTTATTACCAAAAAAATGGAAATTGAAGTCTTCCACGTGATATACTTACGTGTCGAAATATATTAATAAAACTATAATTTAATGATTCGTCAATTTTTAAATAACAAAATTCTAAAAAACATTATTTAACAAAAAAAAAAAAAGATTCCACATTGGACTCCTCGATGCACAGTCTTCCTACAAAGCGCAACCTGGACGCCTCCATTTTCAGTCTCTGCTTCCATTTTGTCTCTACTGATTTGATTTCCCCCTTGTTTTTGTTCATAATCCATAATCATAATCATAATCGTAATCGTAATCGTAATCGTAATCATAATCATAATCTCAATCCCTGTCTCCATCCCCTTCCCATAGCCCCTTTTCTTAGTTTGTAATCAACTCCAACCGCATTTCGTTTCACTGTTTCTCCGCCTCAGTTTCATCGCTTGGTCGTTGTAGAAAGGTATGTGAATTTCTTCTATCTCAGATGTGCATTTCTGTATTGCGATTTGTCCTTCGCTTTGTCTCTTACGTTTTTTTTTTTTTTTTGATGCGTGCTTGTTGTTTATGATTTTGTTTCGATCCTAGTAGTGTTCATGATGATTTCGTTGACATGAGCGTTTGAATTTGATCGTTGTTGATGATTTTGGTATCCGCATTTTACTTAGATGAACTCTACAGCTCTGGTTAGTATCAACTGAGAATGAGAATTGAAGCAAAATGTTATAGGCCTTCAGTTCATGTTTAATGCTTTGTTTGATCCATCGTCCCTTAAATCCATCTCCGCGTTTCGTAGATAATAATGTTTTGCTCTTTACATAACTGAAACTGTTCTATTCAGATTATTTTTTTTTGAGCTTTCGACGTTACTTGGGATTATTTGCTATTTTCAGAATGGCTGCTGCAGTATTTCACCAATCTCTTGGGACTTTTCTTACCCACGGACAAGCTAATAGTTCAAGTAATTTGTCGAAATCGAATTCGAAGTGTTTCAAGGTCGAAGTCGGGGTCTTCAGAAAGATGTCTCCTAGATCTGGCAATATGAATGTAACAGCAATTCAAGCGTCTTCTTCTCAAACTTCAATTTCTGATCCCATTTCATCACCTTCAATCAACACCACTGAAGATTCACAGAAAAAACAAAGTAAATTGGTTTGGTTCCAGTGATTATAGTGTCTAAATGGTGAAGCTGTGTGTTTGTTGGTTATTCTTGGTGTAATATAAGTCATAGGCTGAAGCTCTTGCTTTCTGAAAATATACTTTATTGCTAATGTTATTCTGCATATCAGAGGAAGCAGCGTTGATCTTGATTCGGCATGGAGAATCATTGTGGAATGAAAAGAACTTGTTTACTGGCTGTGTTGATGTGCCACTGACCAAGAAAGGTGTGGAAGAGGCAATTGAAGCTGGCAAGAGAATCAGCAATATACCCGTTGACATGATCTATACATCTTCGCTCATTCGTGCACAAATGACTGCCATGCTTGCTATGACTCAGCATCGTCGTAAAAAGGTAATTAGAGACCTTTAAATGCTTTGGACTACAAATTATTATTGATGGAACCCGTGAGATTCCACATCGACTGGGGAGGAGAACGAAACATTATTTTAAGGGTGTGGAAACCCCTCCCTAACAGACACATTTTAAAAACCTTGAGGGGAAGCTCAAAAGGGAAAGCCCAAAGAGGACAATATCTGCTAGCGGTGAGCTTGGACTGTTACAAATGGTATCAGAGCTAAACACCAGACGATGTGCCAGCGAGAAGGCCGAGTCCCAAAAAGGGGTGGACACGAGGCAGTGTGCCAGCAAGGATGCTGGGCCTTGAAGGGGGTGGATTGGGGGGGTCCCACATCGATTGGAGAAGGAAACGAATGTCAGCGAGGACATCGGGGGGGGTGTGGATTTTGAGATTCCACATCGGTTAGGGAGGAGAACAAAACATTTTTTACAAGGTTGTGGAAATCTCTCCCCAGCAGACGCGTTTTAAAAACTCTAAGGGGAAGCCCGAAAAAAAAAACCCAAATAGGATAATATCTGCCAGCGGTGAATTTGGGCGGTTATAGAACCTTACACCCTTGTGACTGTTGGAGGGCCTATTACTAGTTGAAGTAGGGAAGCGTTTCTGCTATATTTGGATCTATGTTCCTTTTTGCTATCATCTGGATCACCATAATTACGTTCTCCGCGTTCTACTTTTACATTCCTTTCTTAGCTAACCTCTTAACTAACTATTCATGCATGCATATAGGTTCCAGTCATTATTCATAACGAAACCGAGCAGGCAAGGGTCTGGAGTCAAATATTTAGTGAAGAAACCAAAAAACAATCCATCCCAGTAATAGCATCTTGGCGATTGAATGAAAGAATGTAATTGTCACCACAAGTTTACCCTCTATATTATCCGTATTAACATCGTCGATCGCTTTTCTAAAAGAAATGCTGGTTGCAGGTATGGGGAACTACAGGGTCTCAATAAGCAGGAGACTGCTGAAAGGTACGGAAAAGAACAGGTCCACAAATGGCGCCGGAGTTACGATATTCCTCCTCCTAATGGCGAGAGTTTGGAGATGTGTGCAGAGAGAGCTGTTGCTTATTTTAAAGATCAAGTATAATGACTGACCTTTTGCTTGTGTTTTTTTTTATTCAACTGCATCTTGCGCCATTGTTGAAGATCAAGCTTTCATTATTTGAGATTTGTTCATCTGACTGCTTAAGCTTTCCCCTGCAGATTGTATCCCAGCTGCAATCTGGAAAGAATGTAATGATTTCTGCACATGGAAATTCATTGAGGTCCATAATTATGTATCTAGACAAACTAACTTCTCAAGAGGTAATATCCTATTTCCGTACTTCGGAGTTGTCAAATTCTCCCTACCCGAAAAGCTATATGTTATTTAAGCCGTTGGGTTGCTTTTTGCTTATAGTTATATTAACACTGCTTTCAATCTTCTTTCATTCTTACTTTCAAACTCGTTTTTTAAAATCTCTGTTATATAATATTGTCAACGAACATATCTTTCAGGTCATTAGCTTAGAGCTATCGACTGGAATACCCATGCTCTACATATTTAAAGGAGGAAACTTCATTAGGAGGGGAAGTCCTGCAGGACCTTCTGAGGCAGGTGTTTATGCTTATACCAGGGTATGTAACTTTAGCCTTCTTTAGTCTTCTTCGTTCTTTCAATCATCACACGATTAGCGAGACCTTCCCTTGTGTTCTTGATTGCTAAATTTCGTCATTGCTTTGGGTTTGGTGCAAAAGAGATAAAAATGTTGAGAAAACTCTTTTCAACTTTTAAATGAGCAACTTGCTAAGACATTATCTAAAGGTATCTGCTGAAGTGAGCTTTCTCTCAATTCCGGAGGTTCAAATCTCCAGACCAGCAGTATTTGTAACAGTCAGCCCACTACTAGCAGATATTGTCCGCTTTTGCCTGTTACATACATCGTTAGCCTCACGGTTTTAAAACGCGTCTTATTAGGGAGAGGTTTCTACACTTTTATAAGGAATACTTCGTTCCTTTCTCCAACCAATGTGGGATCTCACAATCCACCCCTCTTGGAGGCCAGCATCCTCGCTGGCACACCGCCAGATGACTGGCTCTGATACCATTTGTAACAATCAGCCCACCGCTAGCAAATATTGTCCGCTTCGGCTCGTTATGTATCGCCGTCAACCTCACGGTATTTAAACACGTCTATTAAGGAGAAGTTTCCACACTCTTACAAAAATTGCTTCGTTCCCCTCTCTAACCGATGTGGGATCTCACAATAGGGTTGACTGTTAGAGTACTCCTCTCGATTTCGGAGGTTCAAATCTCCATACCCCACAACCTCCCACTCTTGGTTTATTATATAAAAAAAGTCTAACGATGCCTGAAAATGGCTTCCAAGTTCCTCGTTAAACTTTCTATATCTCTTTCTATAGCCTTACCCAACTCGGAAAGTAAAGAGAAAAGCATCCAAGTTCCAACTCTTTCCAGGTTGGCTTGTGGTGATTCAGTTATAGATTTAGAAGCTAGAACTAACCTCTTTCAATTGGAAATTTTGGCAGAGTTTGGCTCTCTACAGACAGAAGCTAGATGAGATGCTAAACTAAAATAACTCTGCGAAAGTACAGGTAACCATCAGTTCTTAACCTCTCTTTTCCCACCATTTCAGTTCCATTTTGGTGACAAAATTGTACCATTGTTCGGTTTCAGGACCTTGCTTCCAATGGCACTGCAACTATTAACGACGTGCTTTTGTGGCAACTCGACTGCAATGAAACAGAAGAAGTTCGCATGAAATTGTAGTTATTTTTCCCTCGAAATCGAAGTATATGAATAGTTCGCCCGAATTCTCCTTTGTTTGTTTATTTGGGGATTGAATCTTCGTACCAAACCTTGTTAAGGTCTAGGCCATCCCCATAATAGTCTAGGCAAGTGCTTAGTAATAATCCTTGAAAAGAAGATGTTTCTCAATGGATGTTCTAAAGGATCATGGATTTTAGTATAAAAATCTCTTTAGAAAGATCCATTATACTTTAATCAAGCTTTTCAAGCCATTACAATGTTGCAAACAAGGTTACATGAAGACAGGAAAGCAACATTTGTTTATTTATCTCTGGCCACACACAATGAAAATAGCTCTGCTTCATTCTTAATAGCTGCACTCCCGTTGTAGTAGGTAGCAAGCACACCATTTGAGTTACTTCAGACATATCTCCTGTTTATGAAATGAACTGACTGTAACCATGCGTCATATTCCAATGTATTGTGTTACTAATCCAAGCTGATATCAAACAAAGATATCAAGAGGATGTTCCACATCTCCTACAACCAATGAATGAGACCCTTCTTCTATAACCATCAGCCCCTCTTCATTGGCCTTACTTACATGCTTGCAGGGGTTTACCAAGAACTCGACCTCGCTGCGATCTCCTGCGTTTATCTCCACCCTCTTGAATCCCACCAATTGCTTCACAGGACTCCCATTTTCGGGTTTTGTAGGCTTCACGAATAGCAGTACAGAATGCTTACCTCCCATTCCCCCTTGGTTTCTAACTCCTACAGTCACATTCACCGCATTGCTCTCACAGAACTTCCCGTCCAGCTCAGAGACGAGCCGGTAACGGACCGAGTCAGAGTTCATGGCTGCCTGGCTGACTGTTGGAGGTCTAAGGTTCAGTTTGCTTCCGGTAACAGATGTGAATTCATAGCGATGGTCGGAGTAGCTGAGTCCGTAGCCAAATTCGTAGACTTTTGGTCCATTATAAAAGCGGTAGGTGCGGCCAGGGTAGCCTGATGAAGGGTCTGCTCTCATTCTCATGTCTGTCATTGGAACTTTGATGAAATCACGTGGATACCAAGTTACTGGCAATCTTCCTCCTGCACACGAACACGGAACGTTAAGGGTAAATATCATTCATCAACGGTTCGGGATTTCAAGCGTAACAAAGCTCAAAGTGTTAACCTGGGTTGTGATCACCAAATATGATCTCTGCAAGGGCAGTTCCACCAGCTTGTCCTGGATAACCAGCCCACAGGATGCTTCCTATCTTCGCATTATACTTAGCCGAAGATATATCCACTGGCCCTCCAGAGAGAATCACCAAAATGACTGGTCGTTTTGCAGCCTTGGCGACTTCAGCAATGAGTTCTTCTTGCTTTCCTGGTAGCACCAACTCCGACCGATCAAAGTCTTCTCGTTCTTGGGTTTGATCCAACCCCATAACCAGCACCACATAATCCACACTTTTGGCTACTTCCACTGCCTGATACACACTAGCCTCAGTACAGTTAGCCCAGTTGCAGCCTTTGTGGTAAACAGTGTTCTTGACATAGCTATTCAAACCCTGTAATGGGGTAACAGTTTTGCAAGGAATGCCAGCATAATTCCCTCGAAGCGCAATCGGGGCATCGGCATTATGGCCTATAACAGCAAGCGAATGCGTATTCCATTTGGAAAGTGGTAGAAGCTTGGCATCGTTCTTTAGAAGAACAATGCCCTCTCTTGCAGCTTGAAGAGCCAGCTTTTGATGCTTCTTTGAGCACACATCGTTTGGACCAATTTGGCCGTAAGGAAGCTTGGTTGGATTGCCATCAAACAAACCCAATCTCATTCTAATAGCAAAGAGGTTGCTGAGTGCTCTGTCTATATCAGAAATAGGTACTTTCTTCATCTCCACAGCAGATTTCGTGTGGTTCTTCAGGTACGTACCACAATTGATGTCCATTCCTGTAAGTATTTCCATTTCTTTTGGTTTAAATCTAAACTTTTCATGTTTCTGAATGATAAACAGTGTAGGATTGAAATCAAAATACCAGCAGCAAGAACAGCAGCCACCGCATCCTCTGGAATCTTGGCGTAACTCTGTGCATCATGAATGATGGATACCGCATCACAGTCCGACACGATGTACCTGATGTTTCCCAACAACATTAATTAGTGGCAATAATGGTGGGACAAAGAAGCAGCAACAATGAATGCGAGAAAGAGAAATGAGACCTAACCCATTAAACTTCCATTGATTTCTTGCAGTAACAGTCAAGAGATGATGATCGGCACAGGTCGGCACCCCATTCAACCTATTGTAAGAGCACATAATCCCACTCGCCTTCCCCTGCACCACGCAGCTCTCAAATGGCGGCTGATACGTGTCCGCCATGTCCTGCGGCGTCACCTGCGTTCATTCACCAACCCCCCACAAACCCATCAATCCAATCCCAATTCCAAATCAAAACCCAGCACAACCCAATCGGTGTTCAATTACCTTGGCGTCGAACACGTATCGAGTCATCCCTTCCCACCGTTCGAGATCGTAGGCAGTGAAGTGTTTGCAGCATGCTGAAGCTTTGAGCTGGTTCCCGAGCGCCCCCCCTTCAATGCTATCCCCTTGAATCCCTCTTACGTATGCTACTGAGTACTTCCCCGACATCATTGGGTCTTCTCCTGGTGTTTCTTGCCCTCTTCCCCATCTTGGGTCTCTGAATATGTTTATGTTTGGCGCCCAAAATGTCATCCCCTTCGCCTGCCCTGCATTGTACACCGCCCTCGCTTCTGTTCCTATCGCCTGTTTCACACATTCAGATATCGATTCATTCATGTTGAACTAAGCCACTAAATCTAAGCCTGTGAGCTATGAAATCAGAGCAGATTTGAAAGGTAAAGGGATTCGATTGTAGCCGACTTTCTCGATTGAACAACGAGTAAACTATTGAACCCTAATACTTCAATGCGAATCGGATGTTTAATTCGTATTGTGAGCAGAAATGAGGAAATGAAAGAAAGAACAGGGGAGAGTTTGGTTAAGGATTTGATTCGACCTGTCCGATTTGGTACCAGAGGTTGGCGTCGAAGGAAGCAGCAGTGAGGATAACCTGGGGGAAGCTGGTGGCGGCGGAGATGGTGCCGTTAAGGCGGATGCCATAACCGACATGAGCGACGCCGTGGAGGGCCTCCGACCACCACTCGTAGGCGGGGATACCGAGGCGAGGGATCGCCGGAGCGGTGTTGACGAGTTGCAGAATCTTCTCGTCCAATGTGAGACGAGAGACGAGATCGCGGGCTCTTAAGTTGATCGACAGAGAGGTTCTGCAGAATGGGAGAGTGTTGGAAGAGTCGCAGGCGTACGGCGGCTGAGATGACGATTCCGCGGCGATGAGAGAGAGGAGAGAAAAGAAAACAGCGGCGGAGAGAAGGAGTTGTTGTAGTTTCATTTTGGGAGGGAAGGAGGAGGAGGAGGAGGAGGAAGCCATGGGTGACAGTGGGTGAGTCTTCAGCTTCCACAGAGACTTAATAACGCGTTGGGGGACCCGTGTCTCTGTCCTGTCTTATTAAAATGTTTATTTTTTCTTTTTCTTTATATTTAAGAATTCTAACCTTTTTTAATTTTTTTTTAAGGCTAAAATATAATAGGATAACTCGACTAGTCCATAATCATGAACCTAACTCGATGGTAACTTAGAACTTTGCTTATGATTTATGACCCTACTTGTAATCGTGTAAGCCCACCACCGCTAGTAGATATTGTCTGTTTTATTCTGTTTCGTATGTCAGCTTCATGGTCTTAAAATGGATCTACTAGGAGAAGATTTTCACACTCTAATGATTCGTTTCCCTCTCCAATCGATATTGGATCTTACAATCCACCCTCTTAGGGACCAGCGTCCTCATTGGCACACCGTCCAATGTTTAGCTATGATACCATTTGTAACAACTTAAACCTACTACTAGTAGATATTGTCCGATTTGGCCCGTAAAGTATCGTCGTCATCTCACAATTTTAAAATGCATCTACTAAGGGTTCGATAATAACTTTAAAATGCATGAAGTTTAGTTAGGATTTGATTCGACTTGTCTGATTCAGTGCCAAGCTTTTGGCCCGTAAAGTATCGCGGTCAACCTCACAATTTTAAGACTCCGTCTACTAAGGGTTCAATAATAACTTTAGAATGCATGAAGTTTAGTTAGGGATTTGATTCGACCTGTCCGATCCGGTACCAGAGCTTGGCGTCGAAGGTAGCAGCAGTAAGAATGACCTGGGGGAACAAGGTGGCGGCGGGGATGGTACCCCTGAAGCTGATGCCGTAGCCGAAATCGGCGAGGCCATGGAGGGCCTCCGACCACCACTCGTGGGCGGGAATGCCGAGACGGGGGATCGCCGGAGCATCGTTGACGAGCTGCAGGATCTTCTCGTCCAATGTGAGTCGAGAGACCACATCGCGGACTCTTTCCTCCATCGGCATAGAGGTTTTGCAGAATGGGAGAGTTTTCGTGAGTGGGTTGGAAGTGTCGCAGGCGTACCGCGGCTGAGCCGACGTTTGCACGGAGGAGAGGGAAAGGAGGGCAGAGAAAACGGCGGCGGAGAGAAGGAGTTTTTGGAGTTCCATTCTTCTACGGAAGGAGGAGGAGGAAGCCATGGACGCCGGTGAGTGAGTCTTCATCTTCTACAGAGCCTTTATAAAGCTTTTTGGCACCCACGTACCTGTCCTGTCTTTTTAAAATATTTCTTTTTTCTTTCTTTTTATTTAGATTTAAGAAATCCATTTAAATTACCATTTTGGGTTTAAATTTCACCATAATTTCTGGAAAATAACAAATATAAAAAAACTATTTAAACTCATTAGCAATTTTTTACTGTTAATTCAGATAATATTTTAATTATATTTCATTAATTTTTCGATCTGAAATTTTAAATTTTAAGTCAAAATTTGTATTTTTTTAATTTAAAAAATAATAATAAATAGTAATTAATGGGCCGAAACATTCAAAGTAATGGCCTAACGTCAGCAAGAAATGGGCCGAAGCATTGAATTAATGGGCCGAACAGCATATCGATCAATGGGCCCAAAGCATGCACATAATGGGCCGAATAGAATGGGCTTCACGACCAATGGGCTAACAGCTGCCAGGTATGGGCTTCATAACATAATTCTGAAGCAATATTGAACTAACAAGATTTTAGTGATTTACGTTTATGTCCTCACTAAGCATCACACAATAAGTTTATTTTATTTTTATTGAAATATTAAAATTCCATTTGAAGAAACATATATATATTTAAAAAAATAAACAATATTTACTAAAAACTCAAGCATATTTCAACTGATTTACTTGATCCAGAAGTCAGATGTGGAAAGCGCGAGGCTGATGATGATACATAACGGGTCAAAGCGGACAACATATGCTAACAGTGGCCTTAGGCTGTTACAAATTGTATCAGATTCATTGACGAGACGGTGCGAGACATGGTCGGAGTAGGGCTAGACCCTCTCTATAGTAGACACATTTTAAAACCGTTAGGTTGACAGCGAAACGTAACGAGTCAAATCAACTAGTGGTGGGCTATTACACATTCTTTTCATTTCTCTCGAGAATGACAATAGCGATATCCGTTTATTCATAAGAACCACACAATACGGATTTGAAAGAAATTTCATTTTCCTCGGTGCTCCATCAATTGTTCAATAAAACTATATAAAATATCAAAGTAGTTTTCTAAGAAATGTCATTAGAAAGTGACGAAACATAGTTATCCAAACATCGATAAAAAAAAAATATCGGTACTGATACTTACACAATAATTAAGAGCGTAACTAAACACGATAAAAATTTAAAAAAGAAAAATAATAGTAAGCATGCTCGTGAAATGATCATGGAATATCAGCTTTTTTTTTATAAACTATCACGATAAAGTGACAGTATACTTTTATCAGTTATATATATTGCGTTACAAAAATTACGATATTTTTTTATGAATTTGAATCAAAAAAGATTTTTTTTCGAATTGACGTCGATATCAAGATGAATGGTATTATAATGATGATGAAGAATAATAAACCCCCTAGAATGGGGTCAAGCATATTTGGTGGGCACTAGTGGATCACCTAGTGGACGGTCATGAGATTTAATTATTATTATTTTGTATTTTTTGGAAATTTTGGAAATTTTTAATTTTTAATTTTTTTATTTTTTAAATGAAAAAAAAAAGGAGATGCCAAAATAAAAAGGAGGGAAGGGTTGATATTTTATGAAGAATTTTGGCTTTATTTTTTCAAAAAAAAAATATTTATTTATTTATTTATTTATTTATTATTATTATTATTATTATTTCGATCAATTTGAGAGCAAAATATCTCTAACTTTTATGAGAGGTACATGTCACCTTTCATTTTCTCTTTATTTTCCAGCTTGACATTTTATTTAATTTTTAATTTTTAATTTAAGATATAAAGCTAAGATGAAAAATATTAATTTATATTTTATATATTGTGTTAAGTTAATATTTTAAAAAAATAAAAAATCCTATGTTTTTTTTTATAATTTACTATGGGATTCAATTTTTTTTTTTTGGAACGCTTAATTTAACCTTTATAATTTTCATGTTTGAAAAATATCGACACTAAATAAACGAGTTCTCGTGTTTTGTTGATTCTAGTTATGATCTTCATCACCGAGATATAATTCAAGGTTTTCTTTTTAGCAACGACACGTATAGCTCGTGACATGTGAGTAAATTTTTCAAATACGATGACATAAAATCATCAAAATCGGGATTAAAATAGTATTTTTTTAAACAATTTAAATAAATAAAAACCCAATCCATTTAAAAGTTGGGTTTAATTAAAAATAATTATAAATTAAATTAATCCATTTAAATTTTTTTTGAATATATATAAAAAGAAAAATATCGAGCTATTAGGCACTAATGTCATCCGATAAGCTAATTATTTTAAAAAACTTACTTTTAAAAAAAGTTCGTCACTTACTTTATACTTAGTCATATTATATCTGTCGCAATCAACAAAATTATTAATTGATTTTTTTTTTTTGCTATGATTAGGCTTACTATTTCGACCACCAAATCAAACTATATAAAGTTAATTTTAGAATTTAAGTTTTTACTAAATTGATTATATTTGATTCGATTTGATTTTTTTAAAAAAAATGCTAAAAGAAATATAATTTAGAAAAGAAAAGACTAAAGATATTTATTGTAGAAAAAGAAAATTAAATATTCCGAACCCTCCTTATGAATTAGGGCTATTTTAGTCTTTTATCTTTATTAATTATTTTTCGAAAAATAGTTAAATTAACCAAATTTTTATTTTCGAGGACATTTGATAAATGTCTTAATTAAAATATGGCTTTCAAATTATGTTCCGAATTAGTGGATATGTTAAAGGGAGCGACGAGACATAAATAGAGTTTTTGTACATTTTTCGTTAATTCATTGACAGGATCTATACAAATAAAATCAATACAAAATAAAATAATCGGATATATATTTCTCGAAATAAATATAAATAAATAAATAAAAACTAAAATAAATCATGGATATATTTCCAATCATAACTCAATAATTTAAATAAATAAATAATTAATTAAAAAGTTTAAAAAAAAAAAAAAAAACATAACAATTTGATGGACATATCTACCCTCAAAAAAATGCATTAAATGTTTGTCAGAATTTATTAAACTCAGGAAAGTATAAATAAGGGGAGAGTTTAAAAATATAGTCTAACTTTAGGAATCATTAAAATAATTAATAAATACAAAAGGAAAATATTTAATAATATAAAATAATATATATTATATAATATATTAATGATTATGGTGATTAGCATTACAATATAAATAAATATTATACAAAAACACACACAAAACACATATGGATGGTGGATCCCCTCTCCATTATTGAACCAAATAGAGCACCCTTACACATATTTATTTAATAAAAGATAAATTACTGTCGTTAATATTAGAGGTGTACACGAACTGGGTTGAGGAAACTTTTTAGACCGAGTTGAGTTGTCAAGTTGTGGCAACAAGCGACGAGTATGGGCGTGGAATATGATACAAGACAAGCAGTAGTGGCTACTAGGAGTGTGTAGTGGCTGGCGGCTACAAGGGAGAGGGGTGTGTAATGTGTCACTGTCATACTCGTCCAAGGCGTGTTGCTCATGGCTGCATGCCCATGACAAGCCAAACCCTTTATGTCTTTTCATAATCTAGTGTTTTACTTTTGTATTTCTAGGAAGTATGACGTTTCAGAAATATCATGTCTAGGCCTGCCAGACATGAAATGCCTCAGAATGTACTATAGGGGGATACGACTAGTTGTCAACTTCTCTCTACTCAAGGTTATATACTGTGAGCCGTTGTTATTTCTCTCTTGCTTGCTTATATAACCTTTTTTTCGAAAATTTCTTTCTGCCCTCGTTTTCTAAAACATTCTCTTAAAATCGAGGCCAGAGGCTCAAGCATATGTCGCTTGGCCGTAGGCGACGCAAGAACAAATTGGTTTAGCTC